GGTGTTCAGCAGAGAGATGACATGAGGGAAAAACTGTCCCTGGGTCTAGTTCTTTTGACATGTAATGAATGCCCTGTAGGCTGTCCGGAGGGGAGGAATTTAAAGAGTTTATATCCAGGACGTGAGGGGGTCTGGGGCCCTTCTTCTGATCCATACAATATACAGGTTAGGTGGGCTAGTTTCAGTTATACTTTCTATAGTCTTAACTACAGTATTTTTCGGAGTATAAGGCACACTGAATATAAGACGCACCTTAATTTGGGGGGGGGGAGAGGAGGAGAAACACAAGAAAAAAAGAATTCTGCCTCTGCCTACCAGCATCAGTAACAGCGGTGTCCTTATTTCCACTCGGATTTTGGTAACGAGCAGCACAGATCTTTTTATCCAATTAAAACAAACCCTAGCACCCTACGCACATTTAACTGGAGTGAGTGGAGTGGGGGATTATTTTCATGGGGGCAGAAGAGGGACTTGGCATTGAAGGCTCCCCTTCTTCCTACCTATAGCCGTAGGCATTGAAAGCTTGGCTTTCTTGCAGCTAGGCCTGATAGAGATGCAGCACTTCAGTCCTCTTGGATGCTGCCATCTTGTAAACACAATGCTGGGCTTCCCAACAAGCCCTCTGTGCCTTTGCTGCCTTGGTTGGAGCCCGATTCCACAATGGAAGTCAGGACTTGGTTGGTGAAGGAAGTGTAAGGCAAGCAGGCTAGCAGTTCTGCCTACCCCTTCTCCATATGACCCAGGCAGAGGGTGGAGGGCTTCTGCTCCCGACTCAGGTGGAAAGAGGTGAGTCTGCAGAGAAGGAGAGTATACAGCTCTGCAATGTGCAACGGGAAACTGGGGAGGAAAACATTTTCAGGTGGCAGCACTGGCTGCAGTCCCTGTTTTTGGATTCAGGAGGGGAATCCACCCGAAAACGCTTTTCTCCCCGATTTGGGCGGAGGCCAAAAAAGTGGCTAATTGCCTGAAAAACACTTGTTTCAAGTGATGGGAATTGCCAAAAATCCCGGCTCCCAGGCACAGAGAGGGCTTAGGTGTTGCCGCCATTGCCTCACATTGCTGGGGAGTAAAGTGCCAAAAATGAGCATCACTTTTTCAAGTCTCCGCATGCTGGGAGATTGGTGGCGGCAGGCGTTAGGGTGCAACTTGGTACCTGCCGAAAACCACCGCCTGAAAAGTGTGACTTTCTTTCCCAGTTACTCAGAGGTTTTGGTTTAAGGTGCTGCTGCCTTACACCGCCCTCCTCTTCCTCCAGCAAACGAGAGGTGCCTCAGAGACTCGGCTGAGAAAGAGCTTGTTGATTACTGAGAAGTTCTTTCTCGGAAAACTTATCGAGGTGCTTCTGTGATTTGCAGGGACTACTTGCTTTCCCTAAAGAGACCCCTTGCATGTTCTGGGGGGAGGGTCAGGGCATAGTCTGAGGAATGAACCTGTTTTGGAGGGGGAGGGCGGTTCACAGCTGGTCCCCCCTCTGGCTGCTTAGCAGGCAGCTCAAGAGAGACAATGGCCAAAATGACTTCACTTCCCAGCAATGTGAGGAGCCGCCGCCATCGCCTAAGACCTCTCCGCGCCTGGGAGCCGAGCTGAGTGGGAGCCCTGAAAGCGAAACGTCCTTCCTTTCCAGCAACTGCCACCCGTTGGCCCAGTTCCCTGATGCAATTCGCAGAGCTGCTTACCCTCATGAAAACGTGGGGTGGTTTTCGGCAGATTCCAAGCGGCACCCTAACCACTGCCACTGCCAATGTCCAAAGCGATGCTTGTTTTTGGCAATCACCGTCATCTGGAATGTTGTTTTTCAGGTAGTTAGCCACTTTTTTGGCCTCCATCCAAATCGGGGAGGAAAGTGTTTTCAGGCTGCAGCACTCTGATCCCATCCCCGAATCCAAAAATGGGGCCTGCAGCTAGCACTGCCACCTGAAAATGTTTTCCTCCCCGATTCCCCATTGCACATCACAGAGCCGTGCACCTTCCTCACCTCGTTCCTTCTGGGCCAGGAGCAGAAGTCAACTGCCCTCGCTTGGGTCATCTGGAGAAGGGGCAGGCAGAGCTGCTAGCCATCTTGCCTTGCCTCCTGCACAGCGCCCGCTTTGCCAACCGAGTCCTGACCTCCATGCTTCCCTGGGCTCCTTGTGGGTAGGGGCCAGAGGGTGGCGGGCCTACCCTTGGAGTATAAGACACCCAGATTTTCATTCTTTTTTGGGTGGGAAAAGTGCATCTTATACTCCGAAAAATACGGTAACCATTGGAATCTATACCAAACCAGATAGTTATAGAAGTACATACAAGAGACTTAATAATTTATCTGTAAAATGGTATTGACAGCTCCTGGGGCAGTCTGAACTTCCTGACTTGACGCAGGAAGAACATTCTTCACTGTGTCTTTATAATGATGGTTTTCATTTTAAGTGTCCATTTCAAGCCATGGGAGATTATAAAACCTCCAAATATGAAGGACTGCTGATACTGTACTATCCAATATGGTGAGGTAGTAAAACAGAAGGGCTCCTCTGAAAATCCACTCATCTCTACAATTTTAAATGTATTCAGCTCCAGATTGTTACGGCTCACCATAGGGACGATTGTTCAACCTCCAGTCTATATGCTGACTCATCACTGTCTAGAATGAGGCCAACGACTGTTGAATAGTCTGCAAATTTCAGAACAAAGGGTTCCCTTGAGATGCTGTCATTGGTATAGTGAGAAAAGAACAATGGAGAGAGCATATAGCCTGAGGGGAACCTGTGTTCATTGTTCTAGATGAAATTTTACCTAGCCTTACCCTTGCTTCCTAACACAAAAACAACAATAAAGGATTACCTGTATTCTTTTCACTGCATTACATCTGGATTCCTTTGAAAACTAGGCAACTGTCTGTGGTATAGACTAGAGAGCCAGCGGAGGTGTGATCTGATTTAAGGACACACTTGCTCCCATATTGCAAATGATGACTTAACCATGTACAAGAGTTCCATGAATAACTCTATCCCTCTTCTGAAACCCGGTCAGCCTATTCCTACCTCTCTGTTGTGGAACAGAGAAAAATACAGCCCCAGAAAAATAAAAAAAATCAAAGTGGGAATAATCTGTCCATGGCAAGGGATTCATGGTAATACTTTCCAAGTCCAGTTTATATTGCAACTGTCCCAAGATAAGGTTCAATATGTGACACTTTTTGGTCTGTGTTTTGGCATAGAGGTGTTCCCACCTGAGTACCCTCCAAGCCTGCATCTGAAATCAGCAGATTAAAATCTGCCATACGATAAGCCCATGGAACTCTATTGCCAAACCAGCTATAAATTCCAAGAGGAACACAAGCACAATTTCCTCTGATCCCTACTGCCCAACTTCACAAGCAGGAATTTGCAACTGGATACTGCAGAGCAGTGCACTTGAAAGCCACCAGACTTTTCAGATGAAAATGGCTACACCCACCTTAACCCTGGGCTACCCTTGATAGCCAGCTAGGTTTTGGTAATTCAAAAAAAAAAAAAAAATCCAGCCCTTTCATCCACAATTAAGCTATGGAGGAGGAGAGCTTTATTATACACTAGTGTTATCCACTAAGTAGCAACAGTTAGAAACCAGGGCATTTGAGCCTTCATTACTAAATATTGTGGTATAGTACAAGAGTCTATCAAGTTTGGTACCAAATATCAAGGCTCTCATCCCTGGAAGTAGCTATAAGGAGCATGGAGATGATGTTGCAGAAATCATCCAAAGCCATTAAGAGGACAGTACATGCAGAAGTAAATGATGAACCCAGAAAGTCTAGGTATCAACCCTTGAAATGGCAAGCCTCCGGCAGACCATCTCAGGGTTGCCATTTGGAGGCGGGGTGGAGTGTGGGGGAAGGCTTACAGGGATAATAAAAAACAGTAGACTCACAGCATGGGAAGTTGACAATGAAGAAGCAGCCGGCCGACAACCATCTAGAGAGCAGGCCGGCAATAGAAGAACTAGGCCCAACAGAATGATTCCAGGCCTCTCTAGAAGTACAACAGCCATGTGGGTAGGGGCGTAGTTAAATAGGTAGGAAAGCAGCAATAATTATTGCTGCCTTTGTTTTGGTTGCTATGTGCTGATGTTTCCAGGTCTGCCAGAATTAAAAGCAATTAATCGAACCTTTTATTTCTGTTTCTTGGTTTTTGGAAAATCGGAACAGTGACACTAGGAATATTAGAGACTAATATGGCTCTCCTGATTTGCAGAGGATAAGATGAAGTAAAAACACAGTCAGACTTGTAAGATAAATAAAGAATAGCTCAGGGCTGAAATGAGGAGTCCTTGTGCTCTCTGAGCTTGCTTGTTGTTTATATTCTAGTGGCTCGCCCTGTCAGTGTTGGTTGAAGTGGCCTTAGAAATTCCTTGGTTGAACCCAACCAAAGATCACCCCCACCAATATTGACAGGGCAAGCTACTAGAATATAAACTGACAGAAAATTGCACTTTTTACTAGCACTGATAATGTTACCTAGTTTGGGTAATTAAATGTCTGCAAGAAAACAAGTATGTTCAGAGATTACTAAGGTCCACTCAAACTTGTAAAGTTCTGTTATTATAACCTATCTCAATAAATATAGTTTAGTGGAGTCAGTTCCCTAACCTGGTTTATTTAATAGATCTGACAGTGATCTAAACTGTTTTCTGCCATTATCTTCCCCTACCCAATGTTTCTTCATTTGGCTGCATTGCAGCACAACAATATCTTTGATTTCTTATCAAGCATTGATAAATGTTATAATTTTGATCCTGAGATATAATCCATTTCTGCCATAGAGTTAAGAAGGTATCATAAGACCAAAACAAAAATTGCAGTGGATTGTGAGAATATCACTATCCTTATCTGTATGGTGGTCACTGTAGAAATAGAATGTTAGATAAGAGATAACTTTGATCTGTAGAACAGGTTTTATTGTTCATGTTTATTCAATTTTAACATTACTTTATAATTATATGCTTTTTTTACAATTAGACAAATTACAATTGATCAGAATTCATACCTCACATCGGAAAGGCTTCTCTCCTGAATGCTGTAGTGAATGAACCTTTAACGACATACTGCGTTTGAAAGATTTTCCACAGGTTTCACATGTAAATGGCATGTCCTTAGTATGTGCTGAAACATCAGTCAATTAAGTCAGTCAGTCATAACTAGCTTAAATCTCTGAGCATAAATAAGATTGGATCCAGTTGAATTTTTATTTTATTTAAGTATTTATGAGGGTGTCATTCAATTAGAATGGTTCTTGTGGCCTGTAGTTAAATTATAATATACCGTATTTTTTGAAGTATAAGATGTTCTATAGTATAAGTCGCACATTAGTTTTTGGTGAGGAAAACAAGAAAAAAAATATCTGCCTCTGCCTATCAGCATCTATCAGAATTCATCTGGCTGATGTCCTTGCAGCAAACAGCCTGGTCAACTTCAACATGTTATCACAGCCTGATTCAGCAGGAACAACTGATTGGCGGTTGGATTGGCCTCCCGGAATACCACCAATAAGCTGTTCTAGGCTGCAGGGATCACCACAGCACATTGCTGCCAATCACTGCCTCCGCAAGTCGTATTTTCAGCCTCCGTGTGTTGCATTTTTGGCCTACGCATGCCCCATTTTTGGCCTCCACACGTTGCAAAATGCAACACAATGCACAGAGGTTGAAAACGTGACTTGTGGAGGCCAAAACCGCGATGCACGGAGGCTGAAAATGAGATGTGCCAAGGTGGCGATCGGCGGCAATGTGTTGTGGCGATCCCCACAGCCTCGAATGAATCTAAACTAGAATGAGTGGAGGCCAAAAACATGTCACGCAGAGGCCGAAAACAGCCGAAGGGTGTGGGCCGGTGGGAGTTCAGTAACATTTAACATTCGCTGTATAAGACGCACAGACATTTTTACCCATTTGGGGTGTGTGTGAGAGCCTTATACTCCGAAAAATACGGTAAACAAATAACTTCAAGTAACAATTAACACTCAGGAAATAAAAATGCTATTTACTGTGCCTTATAATATAGAAATTAGCTTAGTACAGATTAAAAACAAAGTACGCTAATTTGACTATAAATNTTTCTTACATTTACTGAAAAGTACAACAGGCTGTTTAGTTTACATGAGTGTCTCATTGTCATATATTCCCTAAACAATTTATATCTAAATAAGATTTAGACAATTTCATTATTACAAATTAATCTTGCATGCTGTCATATCTCAACTACATATGCAAGTTTATATATCTTGCATAATAGTTATTTTTTTAAAATAATGTCTTTATCTTCCATTTAATACTAACCAGTGTATAATATATGTGCATGTTTAGTACCTGATGTTCCATTTTTTTTCCTGCAAGATTGAGTAGAGAAATCTTACAGCCAGGCATTATTCCCCCTCCTCCCCACATTTCTGCAGGTCAAATTCCTTGACTATGCAAGAGAAAATGTTGAAAGTAGAAAAGCTTGGGAACTTGTCTTTCTCAAAGGATTTCCCCCCTTGCAAAGTGTCCACAGGACAGCAGAAGGTAGGGAAATCTGGCAAACCAGTGAGAAAACCTACCTGAATGTTTTTTTCACAGTCTGTTTGCTGGTGAAGGGAGAGCTCACTTTCTAGAACAAATTTCTTCCCACACTTGTCGCAGATCTGCATGCGCCTATGAGTGACGTTCATGTGCTTCTCCAGATACCAGCGTGTGTTAAACACCCTGGGGCACTTCTCACAGGTCAAAGTCTCCTTTTCTTCACACTTTGATTTCTGCACAGGTGCCTTGGGCTCCTTTGCAGCTTTCTTCTTACGCTTGGGAGGCTCAATGCTCTTTCTACGGCCCCTTGTAGTTCTGGAAGTAGGGGAAGATGTGGCGGCTGCAGTAGATGCAGCTCTCCTTGTCCTCCTTTGTGCAACACTATCATTTTCCTCTCTTTGCTCTTTTTTCTTCTGCCTCTCATTTTCCTCTTCATCATTACTGTCTTCGGTGGCCGCTTCCTCCCCACTGTCACCCTCCTCTTCCTCACTGCTGGTCTTAAGAACAGCAGTTTCTTTGGATTGGGAAGGGACCCCTTTCTCCCCTTTTGAAACATTTAATGTTTGGTTGTTAAGGTTTACCTCTACTATTATCTGCTCCCTTTTGTAAGTCACTTCATCTTCTTCCTCGTCCTCCTCCTGCAAGTCGTCAGAGTTCTCCCTGTCTTCTTTCACAGCTTGAGCCTCTCCTACTATTCTGTCCTCCCTGAAATATGGCTGCTCCTCTCTTTCATGGAGATGTGGCTTACATGCTTTTGGGTCCACCAGTACCGAATAAGGATTCCCAGACTCCCTTTTGTACACCTTTGTGGACAAATCAAGTTCCTGGCTGGCACCATGATAGAAAGTGGGTGGTACTTGACCACTGTCCTCCTGTGCCATCCCTGCTACATGTGTGGTGCAATTTTTAGCCATCTGCTGGCAAGAGCTGGCTGTATCATTCATGGGGGCTCTCGATTCATTGAGCACCTTGTATTCCAGAATATCAGTGAAGTAACTCCTGTGGAACAAGATGAATATCTGGAAATAACTAAGTCATGACTGTTTNCACTCAGGAAATAAAAATGCTATTTACTGTGCCTTATAATATAGAAATTAGCTTAGTACAGATTAAAAACAAAGTACGCTAATTTGACTATAAATTATGGTAGGCACGTACACAGAGAACTACATAATTACACTTTGTGTAATCACAAGACTAAAGTGTCCTATTTCTTTAACTCTCTTTCTCACCATCCCAGTTAAGCTCAAAGGTAAGTTCTTAGCTATCTTACCAAGTCAAAATTATTCCAGCCAAGTAAGAATAATTTCTTAACAGAAATCATTGGAACAGTTCACCCTTAAAAGAAGTTCAACTTGTCATGGAAATGTTCTTCCTGTATAATTTAAATCTATGGATGGGTATTTTATAGTGAAGATAACACACATTTTACCAATGTTATATGCTTCAATTCTTTCAAATGTAGATTTTGGTTTTAAAGGCAAGAGGAAATGTATAAACTCCCTAACTTCAGTGTTTGCATTCAGGAAGATGCACATCAAAGTTCAGAAGTTTTATTATAAAACTAGTAATAAATGTGGCTTAACTAAAACACCAAATCTCTGCATTGCAAATAAACTAAAATAACATTTCTCTCTCCAATTGCATCAGATTCCCCACATTATAATCCCAGATAGTCTTACATAGAGCAGACTGAGATGCCAAAAGCTTCTCCCCTTTTACTTGAAAGGCTTTCTATGGTGTTCTCTATCCTTTCTAGTAATGGCTAATGGAGATGAACAAGGGCATAGCAATGGAGTTATAGTTAACAGTTTTTAAAATGACTAATCTATTTGTAAACAAGGAGCTACCTAAACACTACATGGACAGTTGACTGAACATTAGAATCATAAATCTGAAGGAAGCACTATGCTATGCAAAACAAACAGCAAAAACTTACCAACCATGTGCTTTCGCACGTGAGCCATAGTGTAGAACTTCTTTTCACATATTTCACAGGAGAATTTTTTCTCTGCATATCCATGGACAATCTTGATATGTTCATGGAGGGACCAAAGCTTCTTGAATGACTTATTACAGGAAACACACTGAATGGGTGGATAGGACAAAGAAGAATAATTTAAACAAAGTTCACTTCAGATGGTACCAGGAAGCTGTAACCAAATGAAATGAACATACACAAGGAAAAAGCTGCAGTTGTATGTACGCTGTTTGTGACAAGTATTAAAATGCCACTCAGTTCATTCTGTCACTGAAACCACAGAAAACAAGATTTAAGTATTTGTATGCTTACATCGCCACCTGCTGCTTCCTCAAGAGCAGATCAGCAGCAACATCAAGGCTTCTACTAGCCTTTCACACAGAAAGAAAATACAGTGATGGAATGAGCAGTGATGCGGAAGAATATTGACTATATTCAGTGAGCTAGCCTACCAGCTTGAAAATGATGTTTGATATCAAAAATAGCTTATTTGTATTTAAGCATAATCTGGGAAGTATATTGCTGTGGATTGTGGGATTACTCAAAAGAATTATTTTTCTCATTTGGAGTACAGCAAGTTAAACTATGGATAGGAAATAAGAGGGAATGAAATAATACATTTCCCTCTAGCCAAAATCATGATAGATCATATTTTAACAAAGTAATGTAATTTTGTATTAACGATTGATTTAGTTGATTGGAGAGGATACTTTTTAATTAATTTTTATCTTGTGTAAGATAAGTTATTAACGCAAAGCAAAATAAATATATATGTAATTTGTATCATTATTCAGTGCAAGTATCATTAATACATCTTACCATAACCCTAGCAAACCAGTAATGCTCTCTCTGTCCCCAAATTTTAATTCTGTGCCAAGAAACCAGAACATTATCAATTATTTAGATTGTGTGAAACATATAGGAGTAAGTTAGCAAAATATAATTTTAAACAACACATTTAGTCAGAAAAATATAAGATCCATGGAGATTTTTTAAGTTAGTCCAAAGCACTTTAAAAATACAATAGACCTACAAAATGCAGATTAGAATTAACTGACTTGAAACTCGTTCTTATTTTCCATTCAAATTGGAAGACAGAAGTAAGTGGATTCCAGTTCCTAGGGCATAACAGCATAAGAATTCTGGACCAGAAGATTGCTGAAGCTGGCACAAGGAGTAACAATGAAGTGGAATTGTTGAGTAACAGAGTGGACAGAGCAGTAGCAGGAGGATCATCTGTGTCTTACTCCTCTGGGTTCACACATATATCAGAAATATCACATCCAGTGTACAGAAGAGACACAAAATCAGAACCTGGGAGAATAGAATTCTAAACCAAAATGCTTAATCCCAGCAATTACAATGAGCAAGGAAGCAAATGCAAACCAATCACATAGCTAAGGACCACTTATCCTTTAATTCAGGCTGGGCATTTCATAGCTAATAAGTGAAAGATAAATAGCAGGCCCCCAGAAGGAGTATTTGAAGGTTACTCTATGTTTTATGTCATGTTTATTTAAAATATTTATTATTTTTTAAAAAAAATCAAAATTGATTAGAATAAAAGGTATAAATGCTACCAGATTAAATATTGATATAGTCAGGTAAAGTGTGTAAAGTTGAAAATAAACATCTTGCTGATCCATTTATTAAACACACAAATGCTGACCATATGTATAAGGATTTTTCATTTGTATTTGTCCAAAGATTCTTGATTTGCTCATTCTGCATCATTTCCAAGACCAAGAATCATAAAAGGAATAAGCTATAGGATCATATTGCTACTAGTTAACCCACTAACCTGAATTCCACCTCGAGTTCTATGGGCAAGTAACTAAAAATATGCTTTTTTAAAAAGGGAACTTTTCTTAGGGAAACTGCTTCGTATCACTTTGCTCTATTAGTTCCTTTATGGTCTCTGTATACAATACCTAGTTTGTTAGGTATTTATCTAATTATACTGCATTCAGTTTCGTTCCAAGAACTAACCTGAATAAATTACATGCAAATATGCAGTGTATTTTATTTATTAGTTTCCCAATATTCAGAATTACCTGTGTATAATTCACAACTATCTTTTATGGAATCATGGAACCCACACTCACTTTTTTCTTGTCCGATTGATCTGCTATTAACTTCTGTTTCCCATCTCCCATTAGCGATCATGAAGTCCATATTTTGCCTTCATCATGATAATAATGGTAAGTTAACCTCCCTCCCCCCATCTATTTCAGACAGCTGGAGGAAACATTTTCTGTTAACAATCCCTGTGAAGATCACAGACTGGTAATAGGAACAATAACAATCTTATAAGATGGACAAATAGGAAGGTTAAAATACTGCTTCTTAAATTGTGAGAATGTGAATAGTTTTGAGTTGATTTATCCTGGTCGAATGCTTTATTTCCTCTTCATCCAGCTCTACCCATTGAGGCAGTTCCAAAAGGATTCTGAGGAATTAATATACCTCTCAGTCCCCAAACATAGATTACTTATTTCTAAATAATTATTTCAAATCTAACAACAATCCATAGCATGTTAAATAGCAAATGGATATTTGACACACTTACAGATCAAATATATTTCTTACATTTACTGAAAAGTACAACAGGCTGTTTAGTTTACATGAGTGTCTCATTGTCATATATTCCCTAAACAATTTATATCTAAATAAGATTTAGACAATTTCATTATTACAAATTAATCTTGCATGCTGTCATATCTCAACTACATATGCAAGTTTATATATCTTGCATAATAGTTATTTTTTTAAAATAATGTCTTTATCTTCCATTTAATACTAACCAGTGTATAATATATGTGCATGTTTAGTACCTGATGTTCCATTTTTTTTCCTGCAAGATTGAGTAGAGAAATCTTACAGCCAGGCATTATTCCCCCTCCTCCCCACATTTCTGCAGGTCAAATTCCTTGACTATGCAAGAGAAAATGTTGAAAGTAGAAAAGCTTGGGAACTTGTCTTTCTCAAAGGATTTCCCCCCTTGCAAAGTGTCCACAGGACAGCAGAAGGTAGGGAAATCTGGCAAACCAGTGAGAAAACCTACCTGAATGTTTTTTTCACAGTCTGTTTGTTGGTGAAGGGAGAGCTCACTTTCTAGAACAAATTTCTTCCCACACTTGTCGCAGATCTGCATGCGCCTATGAGTGACGTTCATGTGCTTCTCCAGATACCAGCGTGTGTTAAACACCCTGGGGCACTTCTCACAGGTCAAAGTCTCCTTTTCTTCACACTTTGATTTCTGCACAGGTGCCTTGGGCTCCTTTGCAGCTTTCTTCTTACGCTTGGGAGGCTCAATGCTCTTTCTACGGCCCCTTGTAGTTCTGGAAGTAGGGGAAGATGTGGCGGCTGCAGTAGATGCAGCTCTCCTTGTCCTCCTTTGTGCAACACTATCATTTTCCTCTCTTTGCTCTTTTTTCTTCTGCCTCTCATTTTCCTCTTCATCATTACTGTCTTCGGTGGCCGCTTCCTCCCCACTGTCACCCTCCTCTTCCTCACTGCTGGTCTTAAGAACAGCAGTTTCTTTGGATTGGGAAGGGACCCCTTTCTCCCCTTTTGAAACATTTAATGTTTGGTTGTTAAGGTTTACCTCTACTATTATCTGCTCCCTTTTGTAAGTCACTTCATCTTCTTCCTCGTCCTCCTCCTGCAAGTCGTCAGAGTTCTCCCTGTCTTCTTTCACAGCTTGAGCCTCTCCTACTATTCTGTCCTCCCTGAAATATGGCTGCTCCTCTCTTTCATGGAGATGTGGCTTACATGCTTTTGGGTCCACCAGTACCGAATAAGGATTCCCAGACTCCCTTTTGTACACCTTTGTGGACAAATCAAGTTCCTGGCTGGCACCATGATAGAAAGTGGGTGGTACTTGACCACTGTCCTCCTGTGCCATCCCTGCTACATGTGTGGTGCAATTTTTAGCCATCTGCTGGCAAGAGCTGGCTGTATCATTCATGGGGGCTCTCGATTCATTGAGCACCTTGTATTCCAGAATATCAGTGAAGTAACTCCTGTGGAACAAGATGAATATCTGGAAATAACTAAGTCATGACTGTTTTTGGGGAGCAGAGCAAGAAAGCACGTGTAGGTCATGGAACTCTGGTTTTATAGCACGAAGACATCGACAACAGTTCACAGGAAGAAAGCTGTCATTCAACAGATGAAAAAATTGTCTAGAAAAAAAAGAGAAAATTAAGTTAGTGGCTTAAGCATAGCAGGAATAAGTTATCCTTGGAAAAATATGTTGCTTAATATAAACGAGGTATAGGATTTGTTCCAACAGTTGTTAACCATTTATATTAATAACAAGCTAATCATTTTATTGTCTACAAGAGAAAAATAGGGAAATGCTTTTACTGCATTGCCAACAAATATGTACTATTATCTGAATTTTAGAGCAACAGAAAGTGCTAAATATAGTTAAAAAGAAATGGTTTTATATATTTAAGAGGTGGTGCATAATAGTTTCTTTTACTATTCTCTTACTAGGTAACTCTTGCAGTTATGTAAGATTATTGATGCAATTAAATGTTTGAAGTTATAAAGCTCTGAGGTTTGCAAATAATGAACATTTATAATTTCAATTTTCAGAAAATTCCAGTTATGCAACTATAAAGATAATCTTGAAATATTATGACTGCACCTAATGAAACAGGAATCTGTGAAATACTGTGTTGTTCATAAACCTAATATCATCTGAGTATCAGTTTCTCATGTCTTTCTCATCACTTGCTACCTAATTCTTTTCACAAGAGGTATCAAGAACTGATCCAGGAATTTCTAGTAGCAAAACATGCATTTCACCAATAAATGACAATCTTTTCTTTTTCATTAGTGAAACATGGATCAGTAGATTCTGGTGGTGAAATAGGGGTGGGGTTTTAAGGGCAAGATGTACACGGCTTTCTCATTTTGATAAAGACACAGATGAATAAATACATGTGCATAACATACATAATTTTATTTCTTCCTTCTTTTTGTTAATCCACAAAATTTTGGAAAATCCACATTTTACCAACTCCCAAAAGGCCATGACAATAGAAGCAATCTTTACCTCAGGAGATAGGCTGTTCCTGAGTAAAAGAATAATATATAATCCAACCATGCTGAACTTCCAAAGGCGCATAAATGGGGCAAGGTAGAGTGATCTGCTCGATATTTTTTATATTTTTTGGAGTAGATAACATATTTGGGTCAGCTATCCATGCAGATCGTGTATTTTTCTATTAATTGTTTCATGATGTTTTCTGTTATTCCTTTCCAATAATCCCCGCCTCCATTTTTATAGTGAGAAGACCAAGAAATGAGCAAGATAAAGTTTACAGAGTGAACATATAATTTAACCCTATTGGGTAAGTCTCCTAGAGTCTTTGACTGAAAGGCATATTAAGTTGACAAATAAAAGTTCTGTTTCAAATTTGAAAGGCTTGACAGGAACATTTAAAATTGGCTCTGTTTCAATGGAATAAAATTAAAAATATTTCCAACTTCTGTCATACTGAATAATAGGAGCATAAAGCAAGTCTCTTGGTTTTTATCCTGGAATCACAAATATTGTACTGTAGTCCATTCAAAAATATTTCCTCCCATTCAATCGACAGAAATTTTGACAAAAAGATGACTTAAAATTTGTTATTGCTTCTTAATTAATAATCAAAAGAAAAAAGAGCAAAATACAAGGTAATAGTGAATATATATAATATATAAAAATAGTGAATATAAATTATATATATATATAAGAAAGAAAAAATAAATAAATAAGGTGTAATAAAAAAGGGAAAAAAGTATAGCAGAGAAAAAAAATGCAGGTAGAGATCCCACAATGTTTTGATTTGAATTCAGAAATACCAAGTGCCCAAATTTTGAATGGGAAGCATATAGAATACACATTTGTGATAGAATTAATAGTTATACATAATATAAAAATAAAATTGAAATTAAAAATGAAAGGGAAAATATTTGAAAAATAAATGAAAACATTTATGGCTAGATAACCGTCTACAGTTTTATACAGACAAATATTGAAAAAGAAATATGTATTAACAACTATAATATCACAGCTGACAGAATTTATGTTTACATATCTATGACAGATATTGGGAGAATGGCAAAAGGTCCAGCAATATATAGGCTAATCATTTAAAATAAAGAAAGCTATAACAATCATTCCAATAGGAAATCTATAAAACTACAATGGATATAAATTGTCAATTTGTAAAATTTTATTCAGAATTATATAAGGTAAATGTAAAGGTTTCCCTCACACATATGTGCTAGTCGTTCCCGACTCTAGGGGGGAGGTGCTCACCTCTGTTTCAAAGCCAAAGAGCCAATGCTGTCCAAAGACTTCTCTGTGATCATATGGCTGGCATGACTAAATGCCACAGGCACACAGAACGCTATTAACTAAGTGAGAATATATAGTAATATAAATAATGTTATACTAGATTGAGATTTTCTTAGAAATTTGTAAAATGGATTAAGGTATCATATGAATCACCCACATCTAAAGACTGATGGCATGCTATCTCTATTTTTCTAGTATTCAGAAGAAGTAGACAAGGATGTCCACTTTCATCCATGTATTTTAATATCCATTTTAATATTTGTTTGTGCTGTTAGACAACATAGAGAGATCTATGGAATAGTAATTAACTTAATTAATTAACAATTAATACAAATTAATTTGTTTGCATATGACATTCTTTTCTTTTTTCTCTAATGTTATATCACTATCCCAGTGTTTATACAAAAGTAGCTGCTTTTAATAAAACAGGATGCACTATTAACTGGTTCAAATCAGAATTGATATCAATAGGTGAATATTGAGTTACCTATCCATTTAAGATATATCAATTTGGTACTTGTACCAAATACATTATATTCCAAAGGATATAACCCAGTTACTAATATGTAATATGAATAAAATATGGATAGAATTTTCTTCAGATATTGATAATTGAGAACCATTAAACCTTACCCTTTGGGGAAAGGTGAACTCTGCATCAATACAGGGATAATATTAAGATCACATGAAGTATTAGTAATGCTTTATGCTGCACTGGTACGGCCATACTTCTAATACTGCATCCAGTTTTGGTCACAACAATACAAAAAAGATGTTGAAATTCTAGGAAGAATGCAGAGAAGAGTAACAAAAATGATTAGGAGATTGGCTAAACTGTACAATGAACATTTGTGGGAACCAGGAATACGTAGTCTAACAAAGAGGACTAGGAGCGACATGATAGCAGTCTTCCAATATTTGAGAGACTATCACCAAGAGGAAGAAAAATTTAAAACTCAGTTAGTATGATTAGAAGTAAAAAATAATGTTCTTTACAAGTATTAGTTGTGCAAGTGCAAGCAGAGCCAACTTTTTTTATAATTTATTTTTGTTGTAATTTATTTTAATTTATTTTGTTGTGTTTAAAATAGTAACAGAATCAATAAACAACTCCCCACAAAGATCCATACCTTTCAAAATGCCTAAGAGGTAAAAAATGAAAAACACAAAATATAGTATGTTATTAAAACAGAAAAGAGTTATAATTTTGATATATAATTATGTAATAAAAATATTGTGTGTGTAAGAGAGGGAGGGTGGGAGAGGAAAGGAGTGAGTGAGAGAGGGAGATAGAGAACAAGAGAATTAGAGTGAGAGGTTCCTATATTACCTAATCAAGGGGAAAATGTTTCAACTTCTATAGCAAGAGTGTGAACAAAATATTTACAAGTTACTTACTCATCATATCTGTATAGAAAAGGATTGTCTAAGACACCATTTTGTTAGTGAAGTAATAAGGACAAAGCTCCTTTGAAGCACATGTAGTTTTGAGTGTAAATACTGGATTATATAAATGTGACTGTGGCAAAAACTGATTTTTTAAGAATATGTTCTTGATTTATATACTTAATGCATGGAATTTAACAGCTAGATATAAATGTATTCTCCATGTTCTTACTATTGCAATAAATTGAGCAGCGGGTTGGACTAAAAATCCTTCAAGATCCCATCCAGCTCGGCTTCGGGGGGTGGAGCCTGCCGCCGTCGGGAGCTCAACGAAGCTCCTGCCAGGACTCTGGTTCGTATATCTTAT